GACCGCGCCATAAGACAGAATGATATATAATAGGCTTGTTCTTTTTAGCTGAACTTTTGCACCAGGTCATCATTCTTCCTTTTCTCTTTAGAAGAAAAGAAGAAAAAAGAAAATGTACTGGTGCAAAAATTCAGCCAAAAAGAACAGGCCGAATATAATGTAAGAAATAAATAAAAGATGTCACTATTGAGAGCTTTAGTATAGCCTTAAGCGCTTGTAATCATCATTCTGTCATTCATTAGACGTAAAATAAGAATAGAAATACTGAAAAGCGCTGAAAGCGTTCAAATCGACCGCAGCCAAAGAAGTGAGCGGAAAAATGGCCGAACCAACTAGAGAAGAGAACGCTATCCGTTCCACTTTGCCTTGATTCTCTTTGGACCTTGAGAATCTGCTCCCCTATTTTGCTCCACCAATGTGACAGTAGGTCTGTTTGCGTTGCTTGCACTTTTGGCACTCGACATCTTCGCTTTCTCTCTTTTTAAGGCAAAATATGTATCCATCTCATTTTAAGTGTAAAAAATATTTGGGGATTTCATGCAACGCGAACAGACCTAGTGGTGTCAAATTAGTGAAACATAATAGGGGATCAGATTCTCGAGGTCCAGAGAGAATCAAGGGAAAGTGGAGCGTTCTCTTCTCTGATTGGTTTCGCCATTTTTCCACTCACTTTTTTGGCTGCGGTCGATTGGACGCTTTCAGCGCTTCCACGTTTGGCAAATAGAGAGCGGCGTTAATTGGTGGAGCAGAAGTAGAGGGGTAGAAACGTTCTTTATTACATAACTGACTCTTAACCCTTCAATTGTTCTATTTTTTAAAAAATTTAATTATATTAAATAAATTAATATTTAATAAAATTTACTTACACAATATGGTTATACTTTTTGCGGCTATCCTCTTTCTTCTGCGGTCTCTCATTAATTCGCCCGCAAAAGTCAGTTTTGTTCCGCTGTTTTCGATACGCGATAATTTCGTTCCTATGGTCCCATGAAGCGGAATTAACGTAAACGGATCGGCGGGTTACCAATCATACAACTGTTTAGATGAAGGCAAATAAAGAAAAGTAACGAAACTCGTTTTATGATTGACTATCCGCCTGATCCGTTTACGCGAATTCCGCTCCATGGGACCATAGGAACGAAACTTTTGCGCATCAAAAACAGCGGAACGTCCGCGATTGGTCAGATTTCCGATACGCGCGATCCGCGATACGCGTGATACGCTCCATGGGACTGCACCCTTAAGGGTGATGTCCCATGCAGCGGATCGTGCGTAAGCGGATTCGCGTATCGCCAATCACAGAATCATTCTCTTAGATCTAAGAGATACGCGAATCCGCTTACGCACGATCCGCTGCATAGGACATCACCCTTAAGAGGCCCAAAGTTGCATCATCACGTATCCCGCGGTCAGAGGCCCTCAGGACGCTTAAGCGAACGTATCTAGTTCGATTGCATCTTGCATATTATTTGCGGCTCTCTTCATTTCGAACAGCTCTGATTAATTAAAGGAGTACTGTCGTTGCTCCCGTTTCAGTCCATAGATCAACCTTTAAATAGGTAAGTTAATTTTTCGAAATATATATAGTTTCGATAGATTATTCGACCGAGGGGGAAGCGAAAATCGCAAAAAAAATGGTCTTGCGACTAATATGATCTCAGTAAACAAAAATGGATTAAATTAGATTCAAAAATTTTCTCTCTCTCTCTCTCTCTCTCTCTCTTCTATCCGAATGCACATATTAAAATTTAAGTTAGTATTTGAAGACGCTGAAAAGCAGCATGAATCTAATCACGTAATATCAATTTTAACGCTAGCATTTGAAGATGATGCTTTTCATCGTCTCATGAAGAGTGCGTTTTACTAATTGATACTTGTAGAATCATTTCATCCTTGTTGTTTATCAAATGTTAAACAAAGACAATAAATAATGCTCGCGAACGTTGTAAGCGCTAAATACAACGCATCCAAGATGGCAAATTAAACGTGCTTTTTCACGCTTACGATCATTTTCGCAAAATAGATTAGATGACCAAAATTAACGCTAATCAATAAAAATCCATGAAAACTAGCATCATGATACCATTTCCAGCTCGTTGGAATGGAATTTTACAACGTGCGAAGGGGATACTGCAGCAAATGGCGGTCGAGTCGCCGTCGTATCCTCTTCACAAAGACAATGATGAGTCACGATCCGAAACCGTTACCAAATCTGAACCGTGCAACGCCACGCCCAGCCACGCACACAAAAGTCGAAACGGCCGTTATAGGACGAAACGCTCGGCTTTTGTGTGCGTGGCTAGACGTGGCGTTGCATGACGCCATGATGAAATAAATGTGCAGCGTCATGATACTTACATCCTTTTCATATATTTTCATTGTCCAGCGTCAATTTTGGTCATATCCAGACAGCGTAAAATATAATAAATATTATATATAAAGCTTAATTTATTCAAAATATTATTAAAATATAGACTGTATATTTTATGTAATTTTATGATAAATATAAATAAATATTTTTAGTAAATATTTTTTACTTAGATTATAATGTTTTATTAAGTATTTTGGGAGGGCTCCGATTGTACACATCGCATATTGCACACATATATCGCTAATTGGCCAATTTAAAAATAAAATAATCTCATTGGCAAAACAGTAAAAAATTACTAGGCACCAGTTGATATGAGTGGTGTGTACAATCAGAACTGTAGGCAAACGGGATCCTCCCGTAAATTTACTATAGTATTTACAATAAATATTCCATAATATTTATATTATATTTATGATCTGTGCAATCTACTTAAGATCAGAAAAATATGTACAAAACGTTTAAAATAAATCCTGTAAATATTTATGAATATTTTGTAAATATTTTATGAATTATATTTAGTGTATTCAGGGAGACGCTGTTAGCGCTATTTTTATTCTGTTATTCCATCTTTGTTATTTATTAGGCTAAAATAAGGATACAATGACACAAAGGGTGCTTTCCGATTCATGCATGATGCGCATGAATCACATTAATGCTTAAACATTGTTTCGTTTTATGTACAAAATGGCGACCAGAAAATTTATTGCCTTTATTCATTAGTAATGTTATTAATGAATGTGATTCATCTTCATCATCATCCTTATCATCATCTTCGTCATCAGATCGTCATAGCGAAGATGAAGGTTTACAAGCACTGTATTTAGTGCAACTGATTAATGAGACACGTAATGAGGTTACAGTAAGAAAAAAGCTTGAAAATTATGTTGAAACAATCGTTCCCGGTTACACAAAATATGAATTCAAGGAACATTTTAGGTAAGATAAGTAAAGATTATATCTAAAATTTATTAGTTTAATTCATTTTAATGTAATGCAATGTATTTTTATCACAATTATTTTGTATGTAGTAAGCATTTGTTCTATTAGATACATTACAAATTTTTCATCTGTAGAAAAGAAAAGGAAGGATCTCTATTATCATATATATTAAATATAATAATAACTTTTTAATAATAATTAACCTCACCCTTGTTTGCTCTTTCAAAATCTTTTTCATTTAGTAATAAGGTTAAAATCTCTCCAGTATTTTCAATTAAAATTGGCAATTCTCGTAACCTTATTTGCGTTGCCATTTTTACTCGTTATTAATATTATTATTTTTTCAACTATCTGGCGATGAAATTGAGAAAATATTTGGCGAGAAATTGAGAACCGATCTTTTAGGGATGTCACATTAATTGCCTCACCTAAAGACTTGAAGCAGATAATGCACGTAAAAAGTGAGAGAAATCTAGAAAATTATAGGGAAATATACATACTTCTCCCACTTCACCATGGCAACGATGCATCAAATGTATACTAATGTGCGCAATAGCGTTAAACGAAACGATTTTTTATCGTTTCATGCACATCGTGCATGAATCGGAAAGCATCCAAATAGTGCTGATAATGCGTTCTCCGAACGCATCTTATGTGTGCTGAAAATGAGCGTCAAGCATAAGCACGGAAAAATACCTTTAAGGTGCCATTACATGCAAGCGTGGAGCATCTTGAGCAAAAAAATATTGTGCATAAATCTAAATCTTAATGCAATAATCTGTGCAGATACTTGACGCAAAATAAATTAAGAAAGATTATGTTTATTTATACACTATTGTTTTAACATATAATACTGAAAATTTATATTTGTTTTTATACTGTATAACATAAATTACAAGATTCCTCTATCAGCAGTGTATGTGCATTCGATCCAATGCATTTCAATTAAATTATTTAACATATCATTGCGCACATTTCGACATTTAATGTAAATATTTATAAAACTTGACGGTTCCATGTAAAGGCACTTTTAGGTACACCCGTGTAAAATTCCCAGAAGTTCCTGAACGCAGCCCTGTATATACCAATATATACAGGCTGTACTCGGAAACTTTGGGGTCTTTGGGCTGCTCGGGTAGCTTCGGGCCACTGTGCTGTGCGTAGTATTATGACTTATAACAAATGAACGTTTATAAATAAAAGATATTATAAAAGAAAAAGATGTTATAAACATGAATAAGTTATAGTTAAATAGCATATCGTGATAGATTTTACTATCGTTTATATTCTAGTAAGTATACAATTAGGATGTGCATTTATTAAAATTACTTTAGATGGTTATAAAATCTACAAATTTTCAAACTTTTTGCTGTCTATATATCATAAAGTTTTCACTTCAAAATCTATAATTTTTGTTAAAACCTAAAACACTATAAAAAGTTATTTTTATACTAATATATATTTCTTCTAAGTAATTTTTAAATTTCTAATAAACGCATTTTACTTTATAGGTTACGAGAAGGTTAGAAAACCTTTACAAGCGTTAAGAAGTGACTGAAATTAGCAGACAGCATGGATAGTAGTAAATATTCTCTTTTTATTTTCTATATATTTAATCTATATTTGTAGAATTTTAAAGAATAAAGATAGATAATATGATTCTAAAGAATAAAGATAGATTATTAACAAATTGAATGTTGTTTTTTTTTAGGTACTGATGATAGTATTACTAGTAATGAGGATGTTACACCGAGAATGACAGAATCTTTTGACAGTTATTCTCAACAGGATATCATTAGTGATGTCAATAAAGATTCCCAGTATGTGATACAAAATACAATGTATCACTTTGATAACTTCGATAACTCGATGATTTCATATAATGGGGAACAGCATGAGCAAAAAATTTCTATCTATGATAGCGAGCAGTATAGCAAAAAGCATAGATATGATAAAATGGATACCAGTCACAATAGTATTTACGAACATCAGAGTAAAAGGAAGAAATTGAATAATGGAGAAGTGTTTGATACTAATACGTCTTCAGGAGAGAAGTATATTGAAGAAAATGAAGTGGTGGATAATGCAGAAGTTTATGCCAACGAAAGTAAAGTACCCCAGAAAATTCAGCATATGATGGAAAAAATGGGATACAAGCCAGGTAAAGGTCTTGGGAAAGACGATCAAGGTCGTGTCGAACCAATAGAAGCAGTTAAGCAACGTGGACGAAGAGGATTAGGACATTACGTGCCAGGTCTCAAGGAAGCAAGTCTGAAGTGGGATCCTGCAGAAGAAGAAATAAAAGTTATAGAAGATATTGAATGGTTGCAAAACAAATATTCTATTATGCCTTTTACTGCAGATAATTTGTTCCATTGGATAAAGTATGGACCGAAGAAACATACTATAGACGATGAGACAATGTTTTGCAATCCAAATATTCTAAGGCAGATCATTGATTCTAAAACTATATTTGACAAATTGGACAAAGCAGAAATGCGTAAAGCAAGAACGCGTTCAAATCCATACGAAACAATTCGATGTGTAAACTTCTTGAATCGTGCAGCAGTCAAGATGGCGAATATAGATAGAGCGTGTGATTCTATGTTCACTTGTCCGAAGAATGTTGATCCCAATGAATTGCTGTATTTCGCAGATGTGTGTGCTGGTCCAGGTGGTTTCAGTGAATACATTTTGTCAAGAAAGAAGTGGCACGCCAAAGGATTTGGATTTACTTTGAAGAACGAAAATGATTTTTCATTGGATGACTTCTTCGCTGGACCATGTGAAACTTTCCATCCGTTTTATGGTAGCAAAGACAACGGAGATGTATTTGACACGCAAAATCAAAGGGAGTTTAGATCGATAGTGATGGGACATACTGATGGTAAAGGCGTACATTTCATGATGTCAGATGGAGGATTTTCAGTGGAAGGTCAAGAAAATATACAGGAGATTTTATCGAAGCAATTATATCTATGTCAATGCTTAGTGGCGTTGATGATAGTGAGACCAGGTGGACATTTTGTTACAAAATTGTTCGATCTATTTACACCATTTAGTGTTGGGCTTGTTTATCTGATGTACCACTGCTTTGAAAGTATTTCGATTTTCAAGCCTAATACTTCCAGACCAGCTAATTCAGAACGTTACTTGATATGTAAAAGGAAGAAAAAGGATACGCAAATGGTGATGGATTATCTATCTCAAATTAATTGCTTACTTTCAAGAAGAGACGATAGCAACGATGTGATTGAAATAGTACCTCTTGATGTATTAGAAGAAGACGCGGAGTTTTTAAGATATCTGAGAAATTCCAACGATACTTTAGGAAAAAAACAGATAGTAAATCTGTTAAAAATTGCTGCATTTTGTGAAGATCCAACATTGATTGAACCTAAGCAAGCAGAGATGCGGAAAGAATGCCTCAAGTATTGGAATTTGCCGGACAGAACTAGAGTAAGGCCTCAAGTATCAAAGCCGCAAGACAAGGCGCAGGAAATATTAGGTGATTCTATTGAGTTGCTCAAATGTGAAGCGACAAATTTAAAGATTGACAACGTACGGAATACGATATTAAATCAGCCATATGATTGGTATTGTATGCCGTGTTGTTCGGGCCCGTATTTTGAGTCCGATAAGTTGGCGACGTTTTACTTGAGCTTAGGAAGAAAACAGGTGTACCGGTATATAGGAGGCAAATGGGAGACTGCAGGAGACGAAAATAGAGGAATAAAAATCGAGCTACCGTCCAATACTCTTGTATATGCTGAATTAGCATATGAAACAAAACGGACAAAAACGCATATCGCGAAGACACGAGCATTGCATATTATAGATGCATATATGCTTGGTGGAGAGGATGTAAGCAAGCTGTATTTATCCCAGCGGTAAGTTTTTCTATTGTTTTGTCAACAAAATTATAAAATGTTGATAACGTAATGTAAAATATTGATATTTATAATAGCTATTCGAATATTCTTAAGCATAAATTAAAAACACGCAAATTAATGAACACAGATCAAATTAAAATTAACATGTTAATTTAATGTTAAAGCAAGTATGTGTTCAAATGTAAATATGTATTCAAAATATAAATACCATTGATTTAAATTTAAATACATGAATACAAGTTCAACAGAATGACATTTAATTAATATGATTAATCATTTTATTACTTGCAACTAATATTTTGATGTATCATATTTGATATTTCAGATCTAATCTCACGAAGAAATTTTGCGACGCGCTGTGGAAACTGGCTCCAAACAGTTACACTAGCGTTCGTGCTAAAGAAAGATTCCTGCTGACACCTAATATACATAGAAGATTACGAATAACAGATCAGCGTGTAAAGTGGCCCACGAACATCGCTTTTGAACTCACGAAGAATCCATTGGAACGCGACATGAGCACGATTAATACAATAGAATATCATGAAACGAATTTGCAGGAACCCGTGCAAGAACTCGTTTGTTCGGCATTTAACAGCGTGATATTCGTACGAAGTATTGTTAAACCATGGGCACGTCATCTTAGCCAAAAGGCTAATGAATTTTACGTTTTTAATGCAATAACCAGACAATCGGAGTTTGAAGTTCGAAACAAATTGAACAATAGACCACCTGATGCTGTAGCAAGTTTCGCCGAAGCATTCAAGGAACGAGTTATTTGGAGTTGGCCGCATGATACAAACGATACATTAAATATGAATACTTTAGTTCAAATGATAAATCAAGCATTACCTCCCAGAAGTACTTAACTTGTAATACAAACGCGTATGTATCTACTGTACATATTGTAAAATTGCATGTATATAGTTTGTATATACAAATCGATTTTAAGAACAAAATATTAGGAAAAGTTCATTAACGACATCTATAGAGATTTGTACGTGACATATGCGTCGAAAAAAACATGTATACATAGAATGAAACGAACAAATGCCTTCAAATCGTAATTAAGTTAATGGCTACGTTTACACCGTGAAATTAGGTCACGGTCTATATCCCAAATTCCACCTAAATTATTTAGGTCCCTTGCTGTAAATATTTGAGAGACGACCTGACCTGAAGGTCAGGTCTCTCGGTGCAAACGTAGCCAGTATGTTAACTTTTATAGAACAGAAAAACTATTATAGTAGAAACGTTATATTTTAAGGTAAAAAAGAGATAATGATTTTATAATAAATCTCATAGCGAATTTGATTGGGCGCACCAGTGTGTATTGGTGCATATTAAAGTCAGTTACGCCGTTGCACACTGATTTAATTTGAATATAACAATGAAATGCAAATATATCTTGAATTATAAAATATATATTTTCTTAAACAACTCAGTAAAATGTATTGAGAGTTTCGCGATTTAATCCATTTTTATATTTACATTAAATAGACATCTTTATGTCAGTCTATGTACACTAATGCACCAGTGCGCACTGGATGCTTCCAACCGAATTCGCTATTACTCGAAGAAAAGCCAAACAGATTTTAAAAATAAAATCCTCGTTCTCTAAAGATTAACGAATAAATATTTCTGAAATGCTTTTTTAAAAGCAGAATTTGATTTTAGCTTTTTCTCGTGGAATGAGTATGGTTTAATATGTTTAAGCCTAATGCATACTTTGGTTTTAAACAAAGTTTGATTATCACATCGACTGCATAATATATAGTGGAGATGAAGAAATATATAATATGCGTGTACATCGAGAAGTATTTTACCTTCCATTTGGAATATTCATATATATATATATATATAATTCATTTGGTACATATAATTCATATATACCAAACAATAGTTCAATTTTTGCATTTTATACCCATTTGCTCTGTTCTTACATCATCGTCATATTTGCAAATGGGTGAACATGTGAAATCGTTTAATACTTCTCATATTTTACGGTTTTGGCGTATAAGTTCTTATTCTAGTCTTGTTTGATGTAACGCATTAAATCTTTCATTCCATCAATATCAGGTTTTATTTTTTCTTAACATTTAAAATTTAGGTTTAATCAATGTAAATTGTAAAAAATGCAATAATATGATCATGAGTAATGTAATAAGTAAAACTGATCAGTTTCATTCTATGTATGCAAACGTATGTATTTGTATTTAAAGAAACATACGTTATATTTTTAATTATATTTGTTTTCACGTTCGCGTACTATTTTCAATAAAAATCTTATTTTTTTACACGTGTTGGATCACTTTCAGTACAAATATTATTCCTAATTCACGAATCTAGTGAACCCAGACAGTTTTTTCATTTACATACTGAAATATTGTTTATAACAATTTTCACAACTTTACATAAAAGTTACATAAACTTTTTCCTTAGATTTTAAAAACAATTGAGCAAAGATACAATAATTTAAAATTTTGTCGGATATACTGGATCCACAAAGGACAGTTAAAAAAATTTCGGAACGAATACCAATTAGAGTTAAGGTGACCCTATACGTCAATAATACTGTCAATATTGACAAAAATGACAATGTTACTGACACACTTGTGTGTGGTTATAATATTGATGAATTAACAAAAAATATTGATTTTCGAGTATCAGTACGCTTTATTAGGATCCATGTCACAGAGCAATAGGTAATATACGTAAAACTGAAATGAAATATATTGTTAACAATACTGATCGTATAAGGTTGTAAAATAACTAAAAATGTTAATACATCTGTTAGTATTATTGATTCAATATTACTGTTTAATATTATTGACCGTGTAGGGTCACCTTTAAAGATAAGTATGATAAGTGAATACAAAAATGTCAAATATATGTAAATATGTATGCAAGATATTTATATATTATGTAAATATATAAAAACATATAACCATATGTGTAAAATTATCTAAATACCAATATTTCTTACCCAAAAAAGATTAAATGAATAAATATGAAAAAAAAGTTATAAAAACAAATGTTTCATCAATATAAAAGATATTGAAGTAAAAAAAATTTCTCAAAAAAAAAAAATTTCTAAAAAAAGAATTTTATCTTTCACAAAAAAGAAAAATACGGCATGAATCGAAAAAATATAAACAAAATCAAGAATAATTATTTAGTCCTTCTAGTATAAAAAAAAAAATTAGTTAAGTTGCTTTCCAAGTAGATTCCATTAAATTTCAAAATACTCTAGTAATTAGGATGGATTATTAATTCATTTTACTTTCATTGTTCTATGTTAATATATTAAGTATTTATTTAATATACAAAATATGTACATGGTTTATACATATATTATACAGTCGATGTGGCAGCAGAGGTATACAAAGTATGAATCGTAATTATGCAGTCTTTTAAATCATTTTTGCTTAAAAGATCATAATTTGCTCTATGATTTTCGATCTCCAAATTTCTCTACAAATTTGAGGATAAAAAATCGTATAAATTTGCGATATATGTTTTAAATTCATAAAATTATAGATGAGCATCTCCCGAAAGTAATATGAGAATGATACTCGATAGATGCTCGTCTAGTGGATTTTTTTAAGGAAAAAAAAGGGAGGGGGTTTTAGCCGTTAGGCGAGACATATGTAGTATTGCGATGCAAATGTCTCGAGTCCGGCACTCCCCTAGGGTACGGGCCCTAGGGGGTCTTTTGAAGATTTCCTAAAAAAAAAAAAAAAAAATTAGGGTACATAATTTTCAAACGAAAAAGATAGACAAATATACTTAATTATTTCAAGGTTTGTGCCTTCATTAAAATTAACAATGAGATTTAGAGTATTATAATTTTTAAAAATGATGGAAGATATATTAAGTCCTAACGTGTGCAAATTATTTAAACTTAATTATTTTTGGCAGTTACATCTCGAACTATTACAGCAGTATTGTAATAACGATATGTACTTAATAACTAGCAATCCTTGGTAACAAAAGCTGTGCTAAGATACTCTGAAGCCTTGCTGCCCAAACTTTAGACGAATTTGAATATTTGTTCATGTTATATAAATCGATCTTTGATCAATGTCCATTTCTAACTTTGCATTAGCACAGGACTACGCAATATGGCTAACTACTTGAACCAGTCGACTTATGGCACTTTACATGCGTATAACATCTCTATAATCCAAAAAAGAAAAATAAATATATAATGGAACATAATAAATCACAAAATGTATCATCTGTGGTACGAAAGAATGGTGGTTGCCCATAAAAGACGTTGCCAAATCCATCGTGGTACTCTGCACGGTATAAGACTGGTCATCGCACCGGCCAGGTGACGAACCCAGTCCCAAATACCCCAGGGTGCGTGTCCGCCGTTGACATAAAGAACATATGTAAAACCGTCCTTACATTTTCCTCGAATCGAGTAGTAATATGGAAGGAAACTGTGCAGCCGAAAGTGACACCTCTGATAAAACAATATAGCGGGAGCGTTGCTGGAGAGCACGTGTAGGAAGACTGCCTTTACGGAGGAACGTTCTGGAGCGGTGACGTGGGCGAGTAGCTGTTCCAGTAGCAACGACGCTATGCCATTTCTCCTATACGCGCGACGTACTCCTAAACTAAGTATATAACCCACTAAACAATTTTTTCCCAGGCTGGAGCACAAGATGCCGCGATCCTCCTTGTTCAATCTGGCATAAGGCTTTATCTCTGCGACAATCAGCCCTATTATTACTCCACCGTACACTGCTGCAAGCGCATAAAATCTTGACGAGCTTGTGATGTCTTCATACCATGAATAAGGATAATCTGTACAGGTAGAAATTAATCGTTAGTTCTATTTTATTACCTAAGTTGAAACATTTTTTATTATATTGTTTATTTATAGCAAATTTTTTAGAATATAATACAAACAGAAAATGTGTTACTTAATAAAAAAAAATATTTCTAATAGCTACATATAAATTATAATTAACATATAGACTACAAATAAATTACAATTTAAATTAAATTAATTAATTGTACAATTTGTGAAATATTTGATGCTTTTTAGTAAGAGACGCAGTGTAACAATGATCATTTCATCTTTGTTTAACATTGGTAAATAAACAAGAATGTAATGATTGACTATATTACACCATGTCAAGATTAAAGTTAATTTATATTGGTAGATTTGGTAAATAAACAAGAATGTAATGATTGACTATATTACACCATGTCAAGATTAAAGTTAATCTATATTGGTAGAAACAGGTATTAGTGTCTGAAGATTCTCTTACAAATTTTTGTTTTGAAACTTGAGACTGTATATATAAGCAATACTTTTGTTATTTCTGTGTGTCAAGTTCTCTTTTTTCTGAGATGCCAACCCATTTCTTTTCTCTCATCTTTTTCAAATTATATACATTTTTATTAAGTTCAAAAGTAAATTTCAAAAAAGCAAGAGAGAAAGTGTTAAAGAATTAAAATTATATTACAAAAAAAAAATATCTTTCAATCTTGCATCTCATTCTCCTTTTGTAGGCAAACAAGAGTTATGCTGCTTCCAGGATAGACGCTCACCTATGGGGAACCAATCTTGGCAGAGCGATCGCACTTCCTCCAGGTCGTCAGGGCAGAGGAAGCGC